GATGACCATTTTGATGTAATTTATATAAACAATGAATGATCGAGGACATAAGACCAATAATCCAAAATCTATATGCTGTATTAGTTATTCTTTTTATTTGATTAAATTTATAAACGCCAGTACTATGTGCCTATTATAAATTTAACGTAATAATTGTTCAAATACAGTATCTTAATGAAATGGCGAAAGTAAAAATGAAAAATCATGAAAGCATACCCAAATTAAACTATCACAAAATAAATAAACAGTATAGCCTAACCGCCTGCCTACTGTAGTAAACCTAGCAAATTCGTCCTTCTCCTTAAGAGCTTTAGAAGCAAATTGTAAATGTTCTACAAACTTTCCAATTCGCATAACTATAAATTTTGATATAAAAAGATAAGAAATCAAGTATTGAACGAAAATTCAAGGACGTTATACATACGTTTTCTAGCTGAGGCGATTGTGCTTTTTAAACTGTTAAGTCGTTTAATCGTCTCTTTATCATAGTTAAGGCGATTAAGATACCATGCCAAGAATCGTGCAAAGAATTGAACTCCCTTGTAAACTTTATCACGACCAACAGTTGTGTTGGCATATTTGAGAGAACGGTCGACAACAGGGTGGTGAATTACTTGAAGAGACATTCTTATTTTTTTTTTTTAAAAAAAATCAATTGTTATAAATATTTAAAGTTATCGATATATTTCTTTTTAAAGTATATTGACGTAATTTATTTGTTACACATGCAGAATGATAGATGATAGATGTGATTATCTTAATTTTACCGAAATAGGTAAGAGATAACGAATAGTAACAGTAACGGTAATCTTTAACGTTAATTTTAGCAATTGAAACAATGAACCAGCTTACAAACTAGTTGCATATAGAAAAGGCTTTTTTTGGTCATCAAAAAAATAGAATCGATAAGAATATTAAAAACTGAACTATTAGAGGATTTCAAAGTTAAATTCAGAGAATCTTATTTTCCGATTTATAATTCAACATATATAGTAAAAATGCTATTGAAAATATTTAAAAAATCCTATTTATTTTCGAAATGCGTCACTTATTTGTTAACTTTAAACCCCAATTGTAAACTTTGGGTTTTTTTTTCAATTTAATTTTGGTCAGAATCAGCAGCGGTTAGGAATATTTCAGATTGCAGACATGGAATTTTTTGTGCAAATTGCAGGTTTCATCTGAACTACTTTTCCTTTTCAGAAAATTTTTTTTTTTGTTAACACATTGATTACTGCGTTTATTTAAAAAGTATGCTTTTTATTTAACTATTTTACAAAGTAAACAAAAAATATGAAACGCGAATTTGGAAATGCCGATACCTTGTCTTCGTTCTTTGATACAAGATCAATAGTCACTGCACCTCCTAACGACCGTCCATAAACGATCAATTTCGTGTTCTTTAATACGTTATGTTTTTTTATGTAATTTAAAAGGTCTAATTATTTGAAAAAAAATATATTAGCTGCTGTTTGTAGAAGGTTTTGAAATGAGGTAACCATAAATGGCATTACATGAGTTTATCGAATTTTTCGCTTACATTTACATCCTTTTCTTATACAGTGGATATTGTAACCGATTAATTATTAGCCGGTTAACCCTAAAAAAATTATAAAAGGTTAACAGTAAATATAGCAGATCAATATCTATATAACTTATATGGTACTGAAAAGATATAAAGAATCACTTATTTCTAGCTAAATAAACCAAAAATACATGTGTATTAAACAACTGTAGAATAAAAAATGAATCTATCGATCGATTCTAATTAAAACATTAGAATTAAACCAAACATACAATATATTTATATTAAGTGCATAATGAATGAATGGATATGAAGAATCACTCACGGATTTAAATAATTAAGCATTCACGAAGAAACTTATCATATGATAAAATTAAAGTCTTTTTGATGCTGGTAACCTTTGTTTATTTTAAAATAGGCCGTTTGGCTTTAATTTCCAATTACTTATATGTTTAAGATCCTATTAAAAACAAAAATATGAAAATATTATATTGAACTCTATGTACTGTATAATACTGATGCGAGCTTTATTTGCATTTAAATTTTTTTATAAATTGTAATGGCATCAAACATTTTTTCCAGATTTCAGACTCAGTGGACCATAAAAGTAGATAAGAATTTTTTCAATTCTTAGCCTTCCTGACCCCTTTCTATTATAGCTTCCATAATAAACTTTTTTTTATTTACATATTTGTAGCATTAACTATAATGTATATGTTATAACGTTTATGATTGTTTCTACTGATAATTTTTTAAATTCAATTTCAGGTTCAAAAAAGTATTTTGTGAAAGATTGACATTTCTATGGGTGTGTTGGTGATAACTTCTTTTTTTTATTTTGTAAAAATTTTCACAGCTATAGTCATCTTTGTAAAACCATTAAATAGAGGAACCCCACTTGTAAGTTCCCAAAGTATGACAATATACAGTAAATGACCGATTTCTTATTGAGCTTATTTTATATAATATCTTGGGATCAGCATATGCTGGCATCATGTCACACCTGAGCTTGAAACAAAAGCATCATTTAATCATTTAACTTTCAACTCATTTAGCCGTATAGCATAAATAGTTAATCGTAATTAAACGAATAACGGTTCTAATCTCTAGTGATTATAATAAAAATTCACTAATCTAAGCGTTTAAAAATAATGACTTAAATTTATGATATTTACTATTTATTTATTAATATATATTTGCGTTAACTTAATACGTGAGCGTAAAGAAAATTTAGTAATATAAATATTTAAAATAAGCTACTACTCATAGACTAAATTAATACACAAAAATTAAATAATAAATATATATTCAAGAATAATTTAATTTAATAACTTAAATTAATAAATATCGAGCTAAAGCTAAAAACAACTGAAACTTGAAATCAGGTCTTTACTTAAAAATTTAAATCTTGCTAAAATTTATTTATAATGTTTGTTTATTAATTTTAACTCTAAATTTTAAACTATAAAAAAACGAATCTCAAAAATTTAAAAACTTTATATTATGATATTTATTAAATTAACACAAATAAAATCAAATCAAATCAAATATTATATTGTTGTTGGTGTTAATATATTTTTTGCTAAAATTTAGAGTTGGAATGCAATTTGAAATACGTATATAGGAGGGTTATATCTAATAATTTAAATTTTAGATTACACAAGGTTTTTAAGAATTTTAAACATTTTACTTACTATCTCAACCCCTAATTATTTAGTATGCTTTTGAAAAATAATTTATGATATTGAACACCTATTACAGTATCACAATGTTTGTCAAAGTACTTAGCAATTACTTGTTAAATATACATATATGTATTTAGTAAATACGTACTTATAAGGCTTAAAGTACTGTATATTAGAATATAATTACAAATACTTATTTAAAGTATTTATAAAATATTTAAAAATTAAGTATTAATAATATAAAAATTTAATATTAATTAAACATTTAAAATTTAAAATACTTTAATAATAATATTAAATATAAATATTTATTTAGTATTGTTATTTAGCAAATCTAAAATTGTATTTGGTTTAACCTTTTAATAATAGTGCAAAATATATAGTA